TCCTGGGGTGTATACCTTGAAGATAGGCTATGTCAATGAACATGGTCCCACATGTCTGCATCACAGGATAAAATTTGTTGATTCAAATTGCCCTGATACAACAACTTGGAGGCAAACAACTCCTAAGAGCACATGGACGGAGTGTGCTTATGCCTGGCTACTACCTTGACCTGGTAGATGTGTTTCTTTACAGCGTCATGAGGAATGCCGATTTGCACATCATCGCCAACACTAAAGAGGAGCTGACCGCCCTTCCCATGGCAGAGTACTTGGACGCTTTGGGCTTGCCAAAGCTGCTTGTTGAGAAGGATGCCGCAAACAGAGAGCAGTGGCATGTGCTTCTGACAAGGGCCGACTATGCATCTTGTGATTCGATTGGAGATTTGGCGACCCTGGACCATTGGATGCCAGTGTGGAGAAGTACTGCAGATCGTGTGGACAAAGAAGTTGAACATGTTGAGCTGGAAGCCAAACGGCAGATTAAGCAGACAAAGGATAAGATCCTGGAAATCTATGAAACTGGTGAGGGCGAAGAGGATGGCTCACTGGAAGAAATGTTGACCAACTTGCGAGAGCAAGGAAACAGACATGACGCTTTTCTTAGCCTCATGAAGCGTGTTGCAACCATGGCTCCTGGTGATGCTGATGCAAGCGGAGACTGTCATTGGCTAACACGTGAAGCCGTGGCTGATGGCAACTGTGGGCTTTGGACTATCATGGCCCTGGACAGTCGTGGTCCAGATATGTCTCTGACAGTTGACTCCCGAACCTATGACCAAATGCTGACCATGAGGAGAACTCTGTCTGACGCGTGGGATCAGGTGTGTGATGTGAGTGCTTGGCAAGATTTGTACTCAGCTTTCCCTTCTGCTCCAGAGGTCAAGGAGCTGAGGTTCAGCAGGAGCGGGGTGTTGAAACAGATCAAGCATGAACATTCTTCGCAGAGCTCCTCATATGCACCACCTTTGTTCGCAAGAGGCAGAGCTGTGGAATCTATGGAGGAGAAAGAGAAGCGCTTGCGCGCTTGTGCCACACCAGCAAAAAGCAAAGCAGAGTTTACCTCTCGTTCGGGTGGGTTCATACCACAAGATTTGAAAAAGGAAACAGATCAATCAGAGCAGCCTGGAAAGCGCAAACTGCACATTTCCCAGCCTTTGCCGGTAGTCATTCCATCGCGTGCACAGTTGAAGAAAGAGACCCTGGTCAAGAAGCAGATTGAGGTGAAGGTTGAACAGAAGCTTCCTGATGATCAACCTCCTGAACCTCGTCCTGGCCGTGGATCCAAACGGCCTGCCAAAGAAGAACCAGTTGATGATGTTGCTGGAGGAGTTGGAGAAGATGGAGAAGTGGCTGCAAAGCATGCAAAAACCACTCGACAGTATCGCAGAAAGACCGCAGAGGAGAAAGCAAAAATGCACACCGAAGCTGCTTTGAAATCTGTCTTGGCAGAGAAGTTCAATTTGTGTTATCGGGGATGGCATATAGCTCACAGTACCGGCTCACAAATCAAAGGTTCCGCTTCCCATTTGTGTGATGGAGGGGGTTGGGTGAAGATGCTGGATGGATTTCTGGATAGGACACTGCCTACCTGTCCAACATGTCGGCAACTACTCGATTCCAAAGGCATTTGTCTTGACAGCTTTGACGACATCTTCTTGCAGATGGAGTCTTTCCACAAGATTTCTGTGAAATCTGCCAGCCATGCAGCTGATGATGCCGCCCTAGCTGCCCTAACCGACGATGCCGCGGCCAACAATGACGATGATGGTGATCTCAAGGAGCTGCCGTGCCCGAAGACGCTGAGTGTATTGTTTGTAATGTTTTCCCATTTTTGGATTTGTTTGTGATCTTTGTGACCTTTTTGATGTCCAATTCTATATGTTTTTTATTTTTTACAGTATCATTTGTCAATATTTGTCAGGAAGAAGCGTCAGAAGACTGACGTGGCTGCCATAGTTCGTGGTATGGCCCCGGACTTTGAGTTTCGGGATCCTGGATTTCACGGAAAGCGCATGCCCGTGCAGTGCCACCTTTGCTCAAGTTACCGTGGCACAATTTCGCTTATTGACCTCATTGACGGCTTCACCACTACGCCGCTCAAGCAGCACTTATCTTCTCAATGTCATCTTCGATGTGTGGCATCCAAGACGACGAAGTCTGCTTCTCAAAGTGACAGTGGCCCAAGTGCATCCCAAACATCAGCATCATCAGGGCCTAAAGAGCATGTGGATCTTGAGCATCATGAGGGGGATGATGATCCTGTTGTGGTTGATGGTGGTGAGGGAGTACTTGTAGCAGTTGAGCAAGGCAGATGCATGGCATGGTCGCAAGTGCATGCGCCCAGCACAGACAAGCTCAGCAAATTCCAGGAGACTTTATGCACATATGCCAGGCTGAGTTTGCGGCCATATGCAGCAGACACTCTTTCGGCAGAGGGTTCTCTACACGAATACCAGGTTGACCTGAACACCATGAATGTGACCATCAGGCACCGGAACTGCACTGGTTTCGCGAACATCCCGCCTGCTTCTCCAGAGCGGCCAGTTTGCAAACTATGTGAAGGTATTGGAAAAGACCGCTATGTTCTCAAAACACTGGTCAATTTTGCCACCAAGTATGCAGCTGCCTCCCTGTTGCGCATCAAGCTCTTCTTTCCAGACCGTGAGCCAGAAGAGATTAAGAGGTTGAAGAGCAGTGATTTCTACGTTGCTGGCACCACCAAGGACCTCGACGCAATCTGCCAAGAGTCAATAGAGCTATTGCAGCGACGTGTTCGGAGCGGCTTTCTGTGCATTCCTGTGCGGAGCCAATCAAAGAACATGAGGGAGTTCATTTCCTGTGTTGTGAAGCCATCCTTGGAGATCAACCCACATGACTGGAACAGTCAAGTTGCGATGAACTCTCGGAACATAGCTCAGAGGTTACAAAGCCGGACTTTAAGCAGTGTAGAGGATGTCGAGCTCAAGATGGCCTGCAAGATAGCCAATGGCACCCTTCGGAACAACGCTGTCCTGCAAGGATTGCTTTGCTCCCTGATAGAGTTCAGTGAGCGTCAGTCGAGAGGCCTGTCAACTATGAGACATCTCAACCTTTCTGATGTGGAGATGGATCTTATATCCGAAGCGGGAGTGACATTGTCATTAGCTGCTGGCAACAAACAGCTGCTCAAAATGTTTGGGTTGGCATTCAAGGGAGCCCGGACAAACTTGTCCAAACTTCACTCCATGGGTTTGCCAGACCCCTTTATGGCAAACTTGTCTGATGAAGTGCTGGCCCAGAACGCTTTGCTGATTGACTCGTTGTGCCAACGTGTTAAAGGTGCACCAAGACGGCACCTGGCACTGGCCTTTGACAAGACCTATTTGCTGAAGTCCTTGGATGTGGTCAAGAATAGGTTGGGCAAGATTTGGGTGGGATCGGCTTTCGAGGTTTTTGAATGCAAGCGTGCTGATCGTCAGCTGGGCCAGTCAAGATACATCCCATTGCGTGAAGATCCTGAAGATGATTCAGGTCAAGATGGTGTGGTTGATGGACAAAAGGTTCACAAGGCAGATGAAGTGCTGGAGTTTCTGGTTTGGGACCCTTGCAGCACAATCAAGGGCAGGCCACGCTATCCATTATGCACCATCCCATGCCGCTACGAATGCTCCGGATTGGAGATGCTTCATATGGTTGGATCTGTGCTGGAGAGTGGGGGAGACTATGTGGCCAGCATAGCCCCTGGAATGCATGTATTTTTTACTTTGTTTTTTAATATTTTTTCCAATACATCCTGAGGTATACTCAGTGTTTATGATTTGTGAGCGCGTTCAAAAGTTACCCCTCAGGGATTTAATTTTTGGGGTTGCTATGAGATTTGGAAGTTGTTGGACATGAATGGTCTCCAAGCTTCAACATTTTTATCCATAAGTGCAAGGGAGTGAGAAATTCAACCTTCAAGCTATCCAGATAAATGGTCAGCAATACAAGGATTTAATTTCTAGATGTCTTCAAAATTATATATCATATGTATATCAACAACTGACAGTTTTCTGGGAATCAGAACCAGGTATGCGACAATCACGGGAGCCACCGCTTCATCAAGCAGCTGCTCTTAGGCCAGCGCACAGGTCTCTCCGAAAAGGATTTGGCGGAGGTGCCTTTCTTTTCCAAATTCACCTACAAAGAGATGCCGGACTCTGCAATCAGCAATTTGTGCTACTCTCAGCCATTCATCAATGGTGAACCCTTTTTTGGGTTGAACGGTCCTTGCCACTTGCAGAAAAACCTTTGCTCGGCCATGAGAGGGGGAAAGCAGATATACATTGGAGACTTTTTTGTAGACACGCAGGGCTTGTTGGATTGCGAGCTCCCTCCAGCATCATTTTGTGGCTTCGACGCTCAGTCCGATCTGCTGTGTGCACTGCTCTTGAGCCCCTGGCACTATGTTTGCGACATACCTGCCACACTTTCGGAAGTGAAAGTTCCATGGTGTTTGAGGGGCGCAATGCTTCTCAATTTGACCATGGCCATGGGCCAGGCGGCTGCAACTCATCCTGCCCTGACTCCACTGCAGAGGGCTGAAAGTGCGATGACGTGCTTTGCGATGATCGATATGTGTCAGATTTTGGCCAATGATCGGTGTGTCTCCCAGGGTGTAAAGAAAGGAAGCTTCTTTTTGCACAAAACAACGTGCAAGAACTACCAGGAATTGTGTGCGTTCGTCATCATGCAATGCCTGCACATTCCGGAAGGCTTCAAGTATAGACCCAACAAGATGACAGAACTGACCTTGGAGCAATGGTTTGGGCACATCAGAAGCCAGTATGTTTCATCACAGGTAACTGTCCGTGACTTCCTTTATGGCAGCAGCAAGAAGATGCAAGGATACTTCGAGGCTGCCAAGCATGCCAAGCTGGAGTGTCCGGTTCCCATCCGAGAGTATGACAAGCCAATCACCGAGGAGGAGCTAAGTAGTTTAGTACGTTTTGTCAAAGATATAAAGATAAACAAGATCAAAATATTAAAATTACTAAATTCTCAACGTAAATCCAATTAAATCCATGGGTGATCATGGGTGATCATTGGGTGATTGTTATATCGTGTATTAAACCTAAAACAATATAAACAGTGCAGGAGTATCGAGCTTGCGCACAGCGGGCCTTGATGTCAGCCAGCCAGTTGCTTTCCCTGTGCTCGCGGCACCCCAGCGCCCAACTTGTCCGTGCGCAGATGGCTGCGGCGGCAGAGAAGAATGCAAAGAGTGCCTTGGCAGATGCCTTAGGGTCTCCGCAGAGAAACAATGATTTTGACCTGGACGAAGAAGACTCCGACATTGATGATGTGGGTGAGGAGTTGGCGGCAGACTTGACAGCAGACGATGTTGGTGGTGATCAGGAGGCCTACCAGATCTTGAAGCAATTGCAGTCACGGGAGATGGAGGCTGCAAGCGAAGATGGCCCGCTCACAGCTGATATAGCTGATCGCAGTGATCAAACTGTCCCTACTGTTGTTGCTGATGGAAATGCGTTGGGTCAGGCCGGAGGTAGACTTGCAAAACGTGTCATCACCATTCCTGATCATGCTGATTTGATTTGGCTACGTGATGCCGATGATCGTGACAAACAGAATGATCAGAAGGGTGGTGAGGAGGATCCTAAGGATCCTAAGGAGGGCAAGGATCAGACTCGCAAATCGCACAAATCAACACACAGCTTCCTGTCAGACAGAAATCCGGTAACATTGAGCCAGGTGCTCGAAAAGTTTCCGGTGGATTCCCTGTCTTCAGTTGACCCATTGCTTCCGCATCTGTGGCAGCTTCTTGCAACTCTTCGGGATGGTTGTGACCGCTATGTATTGCCGAAACCCAAGAATTACCGGCGCTCGACCAAACAGCTGAATTGGTTTCAGCTCATGGAATCAGAGGCAGCTAAGCTTCGCCAGCAGAATGCAAGCCAAGCAAAGAGGACCAGCCGGATTGCCGCTTGGTGTGCGCTGGCTGCTTCCCTTTCGAAGAAGGTCTCCAATGGCAAAGTTCCAGTGCCTGAGACAATGGAGTCAGGTTCCATTGTGTTGGTGCTCCCAGTCAATGGACACCGTGGAAAGCAAAGTGATTGGCGCGTGGCTTGTGTGATGCGCCCTGGTCACAAATTAGATACAATATGATCAATATGATACAATTAAATAAATTAAATCCTATGATTCTTATGCCCCTATTGAAGCAGATATTGATTTTTTGTTGGGGGGGAACCCTGGACCATATTATATAGGATTTAAATTTCAATCATTGCATCTTTTAGAATGTCCACCAACCTTTTGATTACAAATTAATTCCACTGTGATCAATGTTGGTAAGGCTGTGAGTTGTACTTTCAGGGTCTGTACGCTAGGAGATCAGGGATTTAATTATTGAGGTTTTGTTGTTTCTTTCTACAAGTACTTCTACATTTTGTTTGGGTGGTTGGTCGCATCTTTTTGTCAGGTCTGTTTGGCGATGGGCCAACAAAAAGAGAAAGCCAAGTCATATTCCAGTGCCAGTTGCTGCAGTGCATTCGGTGCGATGTGTGCTCTTGACCCCCAAGGAGGATTCGCCAGAGGGAACTTTTGAAGCCAACAGCAGGAGTGACGCAGTGGTGCTGAAGCAAGAAAGAATCGGGCTCCAACTCGGGACTCAGGGGTTTCAACGGTTGTTGGAATCCATCGTCGTTACCCTGACAGATGATGCACTGGAAGCAGTGCAAAATGCACATGAGTTTACACAGTGGAACGTTCTTCTGCAAAAGGGTTTGGCAGCCAAGACAGCTGTAGAGAAGCGATCGGGATCAGGTGCAGCCAACTCAAAACATGCCAACTCAAAACTTCCAGATCTTCCAGCAGCTGAGGCTCAGGTAGCTGATGGTAAGGACGGTGCACCCAACAAACCCACCTCTCATCCATCTGGGAAGGCAGATCAGGTAGAGCATGCAGAGAATCCCCGGCCTTTGAAGAGTCAGAAAATCGCAGCTGTCAAGAAGATCCAGGCAGAGATGCAGCAGGATGAGAAAGCAAAACGGATGGCAGAGACAGAGAAGAAACACGACAGCATGCCAACTACAGCGTTCACACGTTCCAGAGCAGGCGACGCATTGACATGGAAACCATGATCATCCATACGCAGACAGAAACATCACAAAGTATAAAGTCGCAAATTAAATCCTGTGATTCTTATGCCCCTATTGGAGCAGATATTGATTTTTTTTGGGGTGGAACCCTTAACCATATTATATAGGATTTAAATTTCAATCATTGGCACAGCCCTTTTAGAATGATTTACAATGCCCACCAATGTTTTAATCAACATAATCAACAATTAAGTCCACTGTGCTCAATGTTGGTAATGTTGAGAGTATCACTTTCAGGGTCTGTACGCTTGGAGCACAAGGATTTAATTCTTGAGATTTTGTTGTTTCTTTCTACAAGATCTACAAGTACATCTAAATCATATAGGAAATCACATAAATCACTAGATGCGCAAATCACTGCGCAATTTTGACAGTCCGCTCCAACTAATCACGATACACTCTAATCAGTCAGTGTGCAATTTTGACAGGCCGCGCCAACATCATGTTCCAGGTGAACTCCCTTCTCGAGCTGGACATAAAGACTTTCCCGGGAAAGCCTATGCTGAAAGGTGGCAAAATGGTGAACACAGGCATGGCCTGGAAGGATTTGGTTCACCGCTCTCCTGAATACTTCTCGAACCTTCTGCTGAAAGTGAGGAGCCCAGCAGAGTTCTCGAAGCAGGTGCATGCCAAGCTGACTTCCGTCCGCAGGCATTTGGTGGCTGGAAACCGAGCAGACACTTAGCTGCTTTCTGACTTCTTTATTTTTTGTTTTTTCTGGAGATTCTGGAGCGGACTACCATTCAGCCTTTCCAAGTCCACATTCCCCCTTCCCCCCCTCCCACGTTCGATATTTTTCTTCGCAGCGGACCGCCCGAGAACGACAAACCGGCTGGCACACACAACAAACCACCAATTTATAGAAATTATAGAATCCATAAACTTAACTAAATTTGAGGGTTGACAGCTGCATCAATTGCCACACAGGATTGGAAGGCCCTCTTGACCGAGATCCAAGAGGGTACCATTGGCGCAGTTGAAGATGAAGCGCAGCACTGAAGTAGATTGTAGGAACCCGTGCATGCACCAAAGACCTGGCAAGATGGAAAAAGAAAACCTGGCTGCATTTTGATCATTTTGGAAACGCTACACTTCATCAACTCGATAAATTGGAACAGGTATCCACCCGGCTATCTTTCACAATCTTTCACCAATCCCCCCTGCCTCTTCCCGTCCCGTCAAGAAGATTTAAAAATTGTAAGTTTAAAAGTTGTTATTGAGGGGGGGGGGGGTCAGGAGACAGGAGAAAAATCATGAACTTAAAA